CCAGTAATGGAAGAAACTAATTGATTTGCTATATTTATTCGATTTTGCAGAGAATTTTCTATGTGTCCCTCTGCTATTTGAGAGCCTTCCAACCTCCATGCCTTTTTAATGTTGTAATATCCGCACCTGCATTTACCAACGTAGTCGCTGAGATACAGCGGAAACAGTTGCCAGTATACTCTTGTGGGATGTCTAGAATCAGAAATGTGGCAATTTCTTTAGGAATTTTGCCCAATTTATTTATCCCAATTAGTTGTGTACATTTACTGTTTTGCAAATTAATAAAAAATATATCAGAAGGAACATTATAAGGTCTCAAAGCCCTGCATTTTTTTTATAATATTATAAAAATCTCCCTGTTTGTAAATTCTCTTGGTTTTTTAGTTTTTATATTTTTTTTATATTGCAGTCGGAAATTTTTTTTTTTTTATTAATGTCGGAAATTTTAATGTTGTAAAGTTGCGACCGGCCCCCAAAACATCAATGACAAGGGCGACCAAAAAATAAAAACTACATTTTATTAAAATGATTTTTATTACCATTGTAGCTACTCATCCGGAGCATTTTCTAAGAATTGTTTTACATTTTCTTCTGTAAAAATCTTCGATTTCTTAACTACATATTTTTCAGAAGAGCATTTTAATAAAGTTTTTAATTTTTTGTATCTTGAAATATCGTTAGGTATAGTGTTTCGCATTTATCATTGCTTTTAGTGTTGAATATATTTCCTATAGAATCGAGGATTTCCATTATTTAAATAAATTACCGAAAAATGCAATGAAAACATTTTCTGAAAAGGAGTCCTTTATCTTTTCTTGTTGCCAATAGCTTCTGTGGCATACCATCGTATGTCTTCCTATATAAACCTCGCCTAAATGTATATAGATTCTGTGAATATACTGACATACAGGCCACTAGACGAGCATCGCGAGGCTTCCCCAGATGGTCACCGATCCAAGGACTAACCGCGATAAGCGTTGCTCGACTTTTCATATCAATGACATGAATGCCAAGTCGCTAGGCCGCACTCGTTCCTGCTTCAGAAGCTCAAGTTTAATTAAGAAAATACCCTGTAACTAGTAAACCGTCATTTCGGACAATTTTTTATAAGAACTCCGTTTGTTGATTTTTGTTTAGAAGTCTAAAATTTTGTCAAATATTTCGCTTTCATCCTGTATACACAATACTTTTACAAAGTCGCGTTTTATCAATATGTCAAATCATTCGTCATATAATAATTCGACCACAAATCACTTATCGGTCATTTCATCCTTTTTATAGAAAAAATCGAGAGAACTTTATACATTTCATTTTTGTAGACACATCATTTGTTCACCAAACTGTGGTCTAGCTGTGAATCAAAAAAAGAATACTTAAAGAGGATCTTTCAATGGTAGGTAGAATGGTGGATATGCCTATACTATTTTAAAACTAATTTTAAATTTACTTTCAAGAAACTAAGATGGCATTGAATCATAAATAATTCTATTCTATCTCGCATATCAAACCTAAGGCAACTACAAATAAATTTGAAAAAAAATGTCCTACTTTAATGTGACTATAAGCAATGGTTTAATAATTTCTACCTTAAATTTTACCGTTTTTAACAGATACCTAAATCTTAAGAGCTCACCTTGTGTCAGAAAAGATGGCCATGTACAAAATCTTTTTAGTTCCGTGATATTTATGTGACTAACGGGAGACATATCCTCTCCAATCCCTAAGCGACACCTTTTAATGCGGCAATTTCCAGAAAACTTTTTTTATTATAATATTGTTAGATAACTTTCTCTCGAGGAGGAATTTGAGTTTTTGGAGCTAAGTACCAAAATGGCCAGGATAACGTTCTAAAAGTCCTCGTGTCCATTGTGGAACAAAACTTTCGCATCAAGCGGTTGTTTTATCAACGCAGAATATTATCTGCTTTCTCTCTGTAGAATCAGAAGTTTCCAGTTCATAACACATCAGTATACTTTATAACTTTTTCTATTACGGTGTCGCTCCTGCTACTACGCAGGACTCTTTAATTGAGGAAAAGTTTATTTAATATAAGGTGCATCTCAAAATTTTTAAATGTACTAAGTTAGAATGAATCAAATATTAATGGAAAATTTCTATTACTCCTAATGTTTTAACGTATTATTCTTTATATATACTGTAGTTTAAAATTTGAACATATTATTTTCTGGTACGAAAAATATATATTTCATAAGGATTGAAGAGCAATTTTCATAGAAAATATTATTTTAACATAGCAGTCATTTGCTCTAGAAACGTCTTTCTTTACCATGTAACCTTTAAAACAGAGCAAGTAAAAATAAATATGTAGTATCAATAATTTGAGAATGATTTTACATTAACATGGTTATGACAACTCATAAATTTGTTGTAAAGATTTAATAGTTATTTATTATATGTATTGTAAGTTTTATCCATAATCAGATCACAGTCAGAATTTTTGGAATTCTATAAAAAAATATTCGCACGACTTAATATTTCTTGCTAGTACTCATTGAAGCGTGGTAGGTTATGTTATACCTACTGGTTGCTATGGTACGTTGTTTATTATCAATTATTTAATAAACAGTTATATCGGAATTTGGTAAAAATGCTAAAAAGAAATTGTGTTCCTGTGGCTGTTTTTGTAGAAACTCAAGAAGCAATTTTCCATTTATTGCCAGCGAAATCCAGGGAACATTACGAAGAAGTGTTCGCCGAATTTAACGAATGGAAGGAAGACGGAGGGTAATGACAATAAATGCTATCGTATTTTTTTAAATTTGAAGAAAAAATATGCTATTTCATCTATGTGGCCAAAGTATTCGATGTTGAAGGCTATTATAAAGGTCTACAAAAATATAGATATTGGAAAAGATAACAAGCTTACTGCTTATTTGAATTGTGAATCGAGAGGATACAAAGCAAAAACAGCTGCAGTATTGGAAGGAGCACATATTGAAGAATGTTTGACTGGGTCAGATAAAGAATATGTAATGATTAAGGCAATATCTCTCTATCTTTTACATGTTGTTAGGTATATAGTAAACTTTGAATTATTTTAGGTTGCACTAATCATGGGGGTTTCTAGTGCCTGTCGATGCTGCGAATTAATACCTGACAACAAAACGGGCATTTCAAGAAAATTTACAATTATAGAAGAAGGATTTTTCGTGAATGCTGTTGAAAAATGCAGAAAATATATTTATCTGCGCCCAATTCACCCAACACAAGACAGATTATCTTTAAGACACATCAATCAAATATGTACTTCTCAGCCTGTTGCAATCAACACATTGGCGAAGATACCCTCAATAGTTGCTTCATTCCCGAATATCGCAAATCCAGAAGCATATACTGGCCATTGTATGAGGCGCACTTCAACAACTTTATTGGTCAATAAAGGTGCTGATCTTACACCCATAACGGCATGGTGGATGGAAGAGCTCCTCTGTAGCATAAAGTTATATTGAGGAGCCTATATCTAACAAATTTAATATTGCAAGGAAAATCCAAGGAAAATATAGCTGTTCATCCTTACAAGAAGAGACATCCGTAACTTGTGCAAATTCTTTACAAACTTCGGCAGATGTTATGCGTTCCGAAAATGATGGCAACAATGCTACAAGGGTTGTTGTTAACGAAAAGAAAGTTAAATGTGATAAAACAAAATACGAAATGTCTATTACTATAAATGTAAATGTTAATGTAATAAGTAAATAAATCAAATTTGATTTATTATTGGTTTATTATTTTTTCATTATTCTACTAGTGAAATAAAGTTATTTTATTCCACTAGTGAATAATGTATCACTTTAGACAGTTCATATGTGTGGATAAAAGTCCGATTATAAGATGATTGTACACAGTGATCGATTTAACCAAAGAAATGAGTTTTTCTGGGAAACGACCGAGAAAAATAAAATATTTTAGAAACTATTTCATTTTTGCTTTTTTTACCAGAAGTTAGTTAGAAGCAGAAATACAGAAATTATATTTACGACGCTAGGCGTCGCGGCGCTTCACATTTTTTTTTCCAA